TTTTGTTTGGGTTTTTAAAATCACCTATGTGACACCAAAAAGGAGCTCTGGTAGTGTAGTGGTTACGAATCGGGCTGTGAACCGCAAGGTCAGCAGTTCAAAACTACCAGCTGTTCCGCAGGAGAAAGATGAGGCTTTCTGCTCCTGTAGATTTACAGCCTCGGAAACCCTGTACGGGGTCGCTATGGGACGGAACCGACTCCACGGCACACAGCAGCAGCAGCATATGACACCAAGAGTCCTGGTGTGGCACTGAAGGATACGCACAGGACTACAACGTCGGTTTGAACCACAAAGCTGGTGGTTCAAACTCACCAGTCACTGCTCAGAAACCCTATACTGGGTTACTATATGAGTCGGAACTGACTCGACACTTAACAACAACAAGATATGACAGTAACAGTCAACAATTACTTTAAAACAAAGGTGAGGTTGAAAGAGACCTGGAAAATGTGATTATCGGAAATGGAACACACAGACCGGAAATCACCAGAGTGTTCATGCATCGTAAAAAATGTAAGTAATGTCACTGAGCAATTTGTGTAGACATTGCTGAATGGAAATTTAGACTGCTATGTAAATCTTTATCAAAAATACAACAAAATAACAATATTTAAAAAAAAATTAATAATAACTTCAATGAACCAACGGAGCAGGTGACCACAACTCTGAGACCAGAAGAACTAGATGGCGCTTGACTATCACCACACCAAAGGTTCTGAGAGGGAACCCATGAGAAGGTCCCAGAAAGAGTCAGAGGAAATGTGGAACAAAACTCAAAATTAATAAAATAAAAAGACTGGGTTTACTGGTCAGAAAGACACTAGAGGAACCTGAGACTGTAGCCCTCAACCACCCTTCCAGGCCTGGGACAGAACTCACTGTCACGGCCCAATTTTCAGCCAAGTGGTAGACAAGTATATAGAGGGAACACCACCACTAGTAAGGTATGCTCACCAAGGATTGGTCATCCATTCAAAATCAAAAGTGCAACATCAACCTGAGGACAAAGTTGAGGAGGGATGGGGGGATGATGGAATGGAACCAGGGACCACAGGGAGTAAGTGGGATAACTATTGTTACATGGAGGAGATTGTAATCAATGAGATAAAACCAAGTATGTGGTTTGCTGGCTGTAAAACTGAGGATCTGGTCTGTAAACCTTCACTCAATTCACAATAAAAAATTTAAAATATATAATATAATAATTATAAGGTTGCTATGAGTCACTCCTGACCCAATGGCATCTAACAACAACAGTAACTGAAGATCCGGCCACTGCTTAGAGATTTCAAATCTGTCCCAAGTAATCTCACCCAGGGGCTCCAGAGACTATTTTTAAAGAAATACTGTTTTTATAACTCTATTTGTAAGTTGATGGACATAATTCAAGAATTGGATTGGGTTACTAGATGCACAAAGATGCCCTGGTGGCACCGTATTTAAGCACTTGGCTGCTAATGGTAAAGTCAGAGGTTCAAACCCACCAAACATTCTCCAGAAGAAAGATAAGGCTTCAACAAAGCTTAACCATATGTTGGAAGCTCTAAGGAAAAGTTGTTCTCTCTCCTACAGTCTCTACGAGAGGCAAGAGATTCCACAGTGGTGGGTTGGAGAGGTATACAACTCTGTAAACTCACTAAACATCATTCAGTTGTGCAGTTCAGAGGGGTGACTTTTACAGTGTTTAAGACCAATAGCAAGAAAAAAGACACCATGGTTCTTTGCTAAAGTGGAGAGCCAGCAAAATCAAGTAAGACAGTTAATGAGGTGGACAGGCATAGTGGTCACCACAATGGGCTCCACACAGCACTGGTCAGGTCAGAGGGATGGTACAAGCTGGGACAACATCTTATTGTTATCATAATGCCATCAAGAATCAGAGCCAACAACAGCAAAGAATGCCTCAAAATAAAAGTACTAAAATACAGCAACAGAACCAACACTGGAGTGCCTTCAAGTGCCTTGTCCCGAGGGCATCCACGTGTGGACTGCCAGGATAGTTTCTGACATGAGGTGAGCAGACACAGCTTCATGGGAGCTGGATTCTTCTGTAACTTGGACCTCAGCCCAGCACTGTTACAACCTAACACTTAGCTGCTTTAGATCCAAAACCAGAACAGGCAAACCAATTCATGAGCTTCCATAAAAGAAGGGTTATTAGGTTGAGTTCATAATTTTAAAAAAGCAGTTCTCTAAATTTATCGTTTATTGTGAGGGTTTTACACACCAGTTCAGGTTCCCATTCAATCACTTCTGTAAACCGTTCGGTGACCTTGGTTACTTTCTTCACAAGGTGTGAATGTTTTGTTTCTGTGCGCGTTGTTCTGTTTCATCTCCTAACTTTTAATGCTTTATAAAGTGTTATTGCTACCATAAAGGCTGAACACAAACATCCTGAAAAGGAACGGCTTCTGTAAATACCACAAGTTCTTAAAAATACCACCAAAATGGGTAGGGTGGGTCTCCCGCTGAAGTACACAGTACCACCCAGGAAACTGTAGTATACATCATCATCACGCCGGGTTCCTGGGTAAGAGTTTGAGTGATCCAGATATTTAGTCAGGTGTTGAAAGGCGTAACAATCGAAACCTGGAGGCCCTGGAGAACACTGGACATGGATGATTCAGAAGAAAGGGTCCATCCCCAAGACACAGAAACGCGGCAGCTCATCCTGCCCTGAAAATCGGTGTGAGCAGGAGAACATGGACAGGAGTGAGGGAAGGGGACTCAGAGGCTGGGCCGAATGGCACCGTGAGCTCCTGTGTGAAGGCTGGAGAGGAGGAGATCAAGACAAGAGGCTGAGGCGCCAGCAGACAAGCCAGCAAGAAGGGATGAGGACAAGTGATCTCACAGCAGCCGGCCCGCACCGGCCCGTACATCGGTCACTACTGAGTGTGGGAGGGGAAGAAACTGGAGAGATGCTCCAAATCCCTAGATGGAGCCATGGGTGGTGGGTCTGGCATTTTCTCAGATAAGGACTTCTGAAAGAAAAGTGGGGTTTCAGGGGTGAGGGGAAAGTCCTAAGATGCTGACTGTACTGTCTTTATGGTCTACCTGCAGTGACTCAGGCAGACAGGTGTGTTAGCGGGCAGGTGTGCTGCAGTCTGAAGCTCCACACCAGGTCAGGCTAGAGACAGACATAGGCATCATTTAAACAGAGGGCTCCGGAAGCTAGGTAGAAGAGGGGACCATTAAAGAATGGCACATGGTGAGGAGTCCTGGGAACATGCTGAGAACAGGGTCAGAGTGAGAGAGAGACAGGAGACAGACAGGAGCTTGTGGCTTCTCCTCACGTTTTCAATGGTTCTAAAATATGTCTGAGGTCCCGGTGTAGGATAAGCAAGCACTGGACTGCTAACTGCAAGGTCAGTTGTTCAAACCCACCAGTCACGTCTCAGAAACCCTCTATGGGATGCTACAAATCCAATTCGATGGCACCTAACAGCAACAAAAACATGTCTGTGGAAAAGCTCCCTGCACCCATTTGGAGACAGGCCAGAATGCCTACATGCGGAGTCCAGAAGTACAAGTGCTGCATTGCTGGTTATAGATGGTGACGCTGGATTTATCAGATTAACCACCCTCCATTTCAAATCTGTCCCCTGTTCTGACATTGTCAGGAGGTATTCTGGGAAGCCAGGTGTACCTGCTAGAGAACATTTCAGAAGAGACAAATGTCAACTAGGTTGTTATCACAAAGCATTCAGACATTGTGCCTTTAATCCTTAAACGGAGATAATAATCACTTCACATTGTTAACCAGCCAGGTTAACTACAGAATCACTATTTAATACATTTAAGCAAAATAAACAACAAGAACCACGGCCCACTGAGCCGAGTCTGACTCATGACAAGTCCCCCTGTTACAGATTACAACTGTCCCACGCAGTCTTCTTGGTTGTAACCTTTATGGCAGCAGATTACCACAGCTCTGCCGGGCGGGTTCAAACGGCCAGCGTTCAGTTAGTAACCCACTGCTATGGCATCCATTCGGACTCAGAGAGTCCCTAGAAAGCAGAGTAGAGCTGCCCCTAGGGTTTCCAAGGCTGAACTCGTTATGGAAGGGCACTTTGGCGGCACAGTGCATTACGCATTGGGCTGCTAACCACAAGGTCAGCAGTTCAAATCTACCAACAGCTCCATGGGAGAAAAAGGAGGTTTTCTGCTCCTGTAAAGATTGACAATCTCAGAAATCCTACACAGGTTGTTGAGTTGGAACCGACTCGACAGCCCACCTGCAGCTGGTTAGCAGCTGAGAACACTTATTTCTGCATGAAAAGGTTCCCCAGAACGCTACCACTGTTACTGAACTGTATGTGTAGAAGTTGATGAAGGGGCGTGTGTTCTTTTGTGCATGTTCTCGCCAAAATTATATGTCTAATTAGATAAATAAACATGTTCATAAATTTGCAGCATAAATAGCCAGTAGGCCTTCAATCCTCTTCTAATACTCATTACTGGGTAAACTGGTTTCTCTTAGGTTTGCCCTCAATATCCACTAGCACTTCTTTCTTGTTAAGTGCCGTCGAGTTGGTTCCAACCCAGAGCAAGCCTGGTACAGGGTTTCTGAGGAGGGGCTGGTGAGTTTAACGGCCAACCTTGCAGTGCAGATGACTTTGCAGTCCAGTGCGTCTTAACCCACAGCGCCACAGCTAGCACTTAGAGCTGATTAACCCAGGGAACAAAAAAGATAGAAAAAACCCTCAACTTCAAGTCTTTTCAAAAGGTAAAGGATTAAAAAAAAAAAAAAAAGGTAAAGGATTAATAGAAGCAATTTCCAAAGCTGGTGGGGTGGGAAGAAGAGAGGAATGATTGCTAATAAGAACAGGACTTCTTGAGGGGTTGATAAAAATTCTCTAAAACTGAAAGTGGTCACACTGCAGCTAATACATTCCAGCAACCACTGAACTGTACACTCTGAAGGTGTGACTTAGGTAATGAGTCATCTCAGCATAAACTTATGAATATAAAGACCTGGTTGGGGCACTGAGGCTTACCTGGGTGTAAATACTAAATATGTGGCTCTGTACTTCATCCATTGAGTCGAGTCCATAGGCCACCGTTCCTAGGTGGAGACGTTTGAAAACCATCTCATTCTGGGTAAGAGTTCCTGAAACAAAAGAGAAATGAGCGGCTGAACTTAACATCCAGGGGGCTTTCGGTAGCTATTATTTTGTGAGAGATCTCTATGTCACAAACTGGTGTTAAGTACTGTCCTGCTGGAAGAGACATCTGTAGTCATTTGTCCACCCAGACTCCCATTCCCCTTCTTTGAAAAGGGCACCTGAAGTTCCACGGAGAAATTACCATGGAGTCCTGATGTGGAGCTCTAAACCAACACTGCACTACTAACCTCAAGGTCAGCAGTTCAATCCCACTAGCCGCTCCTGGGAAACTCCATACAGGGTCGCTGTGAGTCAGAACTGATGGCTAACTCTAAGGCACTTAACAACAACAATGTTCTCCCGGTGGTTGAGAAGGACTGTCACTCGTTCCATTGGCCAAGAGGTGGGGCATCTGACATGCCTCTCTACCAGTCAGATTCTGTCTGGCAGGAATCTGAACCTTGAGCAGAAAGATGTGTGCAGGAGATGGCTGGAGTCAAGTAATTCCAGTGATGGAGGCGCTACAAAGATCATCCTGAGGAGTTGGCTATCGACATACTCAGGTGTTTCCTGGTTCCTCTCCTACCTGACACCGAGATTATCTCAGATTGAGAGAGCCACCCAGGACCTTCAGAGTGGACAGCCTCTACTCCTGCCCATAGCCCCTACCTGATAGAGGTGAAGCATAAAACCAGGTCTGTCCACTTCCCAATCCTTGCTCTTAATAACTGTGACAACCTCCTAATTTACTCACTGCTGTGGAGCTGATTCCAATTCATAGTGACCCTTTTGGACAGGGGAGAACTTCTAAGGATTTCTGAGACTGTAAATCTTTACAAAAAAAAACCAGCTTCATCTTTTTCCTGCGGAGTGGCTGGTAAGTTTGAACCGCTAACCTTGCTGTTAACAGCCTGATGCCACCAGGACTCCCCTTCTTCCTTGGCAAGGGTTAAATTGTGGAAATAAGAGTAGGAACTGCTGAATGGAAACCCATCGGCTCTGCACCCCTTCATCTAGCTCACAATAAAAAGTTGTTTTGTATTTTTAATTGTGTAACAAATATTATTGGGTGGAAGTCCCAGTGTGACGTCGTAGAATAAGCACTGAACCGCAAGTTGGTTTGAACCTCAAGGTAGGCGGCAGGCAGTTCAAACTCACCAGCTGCTCCTCCCAAACCCTATACAAGGTCGAAAAGAGTCCAAACTGACTGGATGGCACTTAATAACAATAACAACAACATTATTGTTGGGCGTGTTGCTGAGATGGGGATTTGAGGCAACAGCACAGTTCCAAAGTTTGGTTCTACAAATCATTACCTGTTTCTTGTTCCAACTCTTTATCTGCAAAATAGGATAATACTATCGCCTACCTTAAGGAGCTCTGGTAGCGTAGTGGTTACGAATCGGGCTGCAAACCACAAGGTCAGCAGTTCGAAACTACCAGCTGTTCCGCGGGAGAAAGATGAGGCTTTCTGCTCCTGTAAAGATTTATAGCCTCGGAAACCCTGTATAGGGTCACTATGAGTCGGAATCGACTCCACGGCACATAATAACAACTGCCTTGCAAAGGTGGGCTAGGGGTTGAGTATGTAAACAGAAACACCTTAGTACTTCGCATATAATTACAATATTGGTTCCCTGCTCTCATCCCCCTCATCACCACCATCCAGTCATCAATCTCCCACCTCCAAAGGCGAAGAAAATAAAGCAGCAACAGCATGCATCTCTGCTGTCTCCAGAAAGAGAAACCAAGAGCTTAGCGCACAGCACGCAGGTGCCATCTCTCAGCTGGAGCCCAGTCTGCTTCTGTTGTTCGCTGCTGTCGAGTGGATCCCCACTCACGGTGGTCCCGCATAGCAAAGCACAACTAGACCCCACAGAGTTTTCTGGCACTAGATCGCCCTTCGAAAGCAGACTGCCACACTGGTCTTCCTAGATGCTCTGGAAGGGCTGGAACCCTTTTGTTAAGCACTCAGCCATCTGAGTCACCACAACACCATCTGAGTCACCACAACAGCCTTGAACCCTGACTAGGCTTCAAAACTAGACTCACCTGTCTTGTCTGTGAGTAAGTAAGAAATCCGTCCCAGTTGCTCAGGAATCGTACTGGAACGAACCACGGTCCCAGGGATTTTGGAATCCCTTCGAATCACCCAGCTGTACACAATCTTGCCCATATCCAAGTTTACACGCAAACTATTGAGAAATACAGAACAGGTTAGTAGGGTGCATGCAGGGCCCCCTCTCTCTTTTTTGGTAAACAATGGATATTAAATAACCATCATTTGTGCTTTAACATCTGGATTCCTCCCGATAGTTCACTGTGGATGTGAATCCACAGATTCAACAGGAATTACTGCCTCTACTGAGTAACACAACACACAAATCATGATTTTCATAAAGCTACCCTGTTGGCACTGTAGGATCAGCATTGGACTGCAAACCACAAGGTCGGCAGTTCAAACCCACCAGCTGTTCCTTGGAAAGCCTATACAGGGTTGCTATGAGTTGGAACTGACTCAATGGCACTTAACAATAACAACAACAACAACCCTGTTATGGACTGAAGTCACAAAAGAGATCAAAAAGGCAATTGTTTGGTGAGCCACAAGGTCAGCAGTTCGAAACTACCAGCGGTTCTGCAGGAGCAAGATGAGGCGTTCTGCTCCCGTAAATATTTACAGCCTCGGAAACCCTGTGCAGGGTCGCTATGAGTCGGAACCGACTCCACGGCACTTAACAACAACAATATTAATTTTAAAATACCATTTTACTGCAAAATATAGAGATCTTCCAAATCTTTCCTAATTCCCTAAACCAATCAACTGTTCGTCACTTCACTGCCTAGCCCGAATCCATATGAATATTCAGTTCATGAATTTTCAATAATGCTGTAGATACAACTTTACAATCTACATTTTCATGTGCCCTTACATCATCACAAACACATTTTTTCTCCATAGCAATGAAGTAGACCTAGTCTTTGAAGCGAACACCTCTAGTATGCTGAGTTCAATCTTTCTGTACCAGTTACACTGTGGCTAACATGTTTCCTGTCCACAGACAATGAGAAATTCCATTTGGGATGATATAAATATGCGAGAGAGAAAAGCAAAACTTAGGACAATATATTGTGTAAGTCAACCTAGTCAGCTTCCCAATCAAATAGGCAGACCACTGACATGGGCCTGTTGTTTTCAGGATTAAAAG